CCTACAGGGTGGGTTGGGGGGGCAGGTCGTGGTTGCCCCCTGAGGGGGGTGTTGTTGCCCCCAGGGATCTGTCAGGTTTGGAGGAAACGGGTCCACGTTGCCTGCTCCCCTTCCCCCCGAGGGCGGCTCTCAGCGAGGGGTCGAGGTGAGAGTGCCCCAGCCAGAGGGTGAGGGGCTGCTGCGGCCCCCGGGGGTGGCTGGGCTGAGGCTGTGGGCCCCTCTGGGGGGGTGGCTGGTGCCTGCAGGGAAGTGGGGGAGCAGGAGGGTCCCCAGTGCCTCGCTGACCCTGTCCCCCCTCCTCACCCCGCTGCAGGTCACCTTTGATCTTCCTGCTTTGCCCCGGTCCTAGCCCGGGCTTCTGCTCCCATCTCTGGAAGTATGTCCGAGGGGGTGGATCTGATTGATATCTACGCCGACGAGGAGTTCAACCAGGTGAGCGACACGTCCAGCCGCAGGGCTGGAGCTGCACATCCTCCTTTTTTTGTGGAGAGCATCATAACTGGTGTCAGCCAGCTGGTTAGCGAGGCACTGGAGTGATTAGGGTGGACGTACCCACCAGCTGGTGCATACGCAGAGGGCAGAAAATGTGACTGCTGTGCCCAGGGAAGGGTAGCACAATGCTGGAGAGTCACTCTGGGGAACCGAGGGCTGGGACTGTTCCTAAATCCTAAATTCTGCCATGTCGACTGGGAATAAAGGGTCTTTCTGCAGGTTTCTCTGGAGGTTCAACATGTGGCTGGTCACAAAACGACTGGGAGGGGGAGGCAGGGTTTGGACCACGACGTTTGTCAGGACAGTGATGAGCGGAGATTGAAGGGGAAAGTTGCAGCGTGGTTGGAGAAATGAGAAATCTAAACTGGAAGAGGCCCTGCCAAGGAGCTGCACGGTGAGGGGACCTGGAGCACCACACCCATGGGACCACTGAGGCTGGGATGCTGTGGCAGGGACTGGCTGTGGTCAGAGAGGTGCCTGTGTGCCACCCCTCCCACCCTGAGGCTGTCTGGGACCCGTGTGAAGAAATGACAGAGAAGTGTAGGGGGGGGGGGGCAGATTTTCAAGAGTTTGGGAATCTGTGAGAGCGGGTGTGAACGGAGATGTTTGAAGATTAAAAACGGCCGTGGAAAGCCCATGGAGGGAAGTTGGTCTGCACTAGAAGGCGGGCTGCTTGAACTGGAAACAAAACATGTGGAGGAGGGAATGGCTGTGAGCTCCCAGAGGGCTGAACAGGGACTGAGGATGATAAACCCTTTGTTCTGAGGAGGTAGGAGATTATCGGGTGAGGATACGCTGTGGGTAAACGTTTCAGGGGAAAAGCAAAATGGCGGAAACTCTGTTAACTGCCTCAGAGCTGAGGGGACTGCGAGGTGCTTTCCAGCTGCCTGGGAAGAAGCAGGAGTTCTCCACTGGGAGTGATTCCCTTGGGAGGAGGGCAGGGTCCAAGCTGGCTGTAATGTTGCCAAAATAATGTTGCCAAAAAGTGAGATGCAAAGTAAATGTCCGTGCTGCTTGTAGCAGCCATGCAGCCCTGCCCAGACACCCTCTGACTCTGAAATACGCTTCCTGCATCTGTCTTGAAAAATATATAAATAATATAGCCGATTCCCTGTGTATTCAGCTATCTAGTACCGTCTGGGACCAAACGGAACTGCTCTGGCTTAGGAACTGCCTCAATTTGTATGTTTTCATGCAATTTACTTTTAACAGAATGAGGAAATAGGTATACCTGGATTTGGGAGCAGAAGGGAGAGCTGGGGGAATAAAGTGCAGATTAAGAAAATGCGTGGAGGTGGCTGGGCTTGGAAGTGCACAGAATAACCAAGAAACGACATTTATGGCAATTATTCGGAACGCCAAAGGGAAGCAGTGAAAGTGGACGTGGTACCTTCCGTCTGGAGGAGAGCCGTGACGTTGGCGGGTGTGAGTTGGAAAGTCTGTAATGTCTTCGAGGACGACAGATAAACAACAAACAGGTGGGAGGAATTCACAGAACTCTGGTGTCGCTTCCCCGGGCGCTCTGCGGAGACGGCGCAGTGTTGCCTGGCCTGCCTGTGCCTGCAGACAGGCATTCCTGCGAAGGCTTGGCCCCCGGCAGGCCTGGAGCAGGAAACGTGACAAAGACAGTGGCTTGAGTGGACATGGGAATGTCTGCTGAGGAGCTGAGAGGGTCCCTGGTGGGTCAGGTTTGTTCTCGATCAAGTCTTGGGGGTCTTTGGGGGTAAAAAACGTTAAGCAGCATTGAGAGGAGGATGGAGTGAGCCTGGCTGTGCAGCGGGAAACGGTGTGGAAAGATTGAACTGGAGGGTTTGGGGTACAGTAGACAAAAGATCTTTGACACAGCCAAGTAGACAGAAGCTTCTTAAAGCTGGAAGTGATTATCAAGGCCGCCGAGTCTGGTGTTTTGCTCGCTTCGGGCTGTGCGGCGGCAGGAAGAAACTCAGAGTTAATCTGTGTGTGATACCGCGTGGAGGCAGCGGGGGGGGGAAGGTGCCCTGGCTGCCCCGTGGTCTCTGTGGGCCACTGACGTGCTTCCAAATCCTCCAGCGCATGCTGAGCTGCGTCCCGGAGCACCCCCAGACAGTGCACATGTGGGTTCGGGGTACGTTTGCCATGGAGGGGTTGGCTGGTGAGTGATGCGAGAAGCCTCTTGGTACCATGCGTTTCGAGTGAGGGTCTGCAAATTTCAGGGTGGCAGCAAGGGGCAGAGACCAGGAGAGTGGTCTGGGAGCACTTGGACTGTGAGTACTTCTACACCACCTTCCCATCAGGCTGTTAGTTTTCCGAAGAAATAATTTTCAGAGATCCCAGAGGGGCCCTAAAAACTCCCAAGCTGAAGTATCCCGGCTTCTGAGCGATTTCTCCTCTAGTCGTGTGTGTCCCCCCCATTTTTGTTCTCAACTTTCTGAAACTTCCAGGCAGAAATCTTCCAGCCTTGGGCTGTGTCCAAAGGCACTTGGTGGAGGTAGGAGTGTGGGAGGCGGATTAAACAAACAGTTGAGCTGTTTCGAGAATGAGTACAAAAATACTGCGCCCTGTTGAAATTCTTGTAACCTTTTTATCAGCTCTGCAGCTGAAATAGCCAGATGCAAAAGTTACAACTTGTCTTAGAAATGGACATTTTGCTGTCAAGAAATGTGTCTGGGGGTAAAAAGGGTTTGATTTTTAGATTTCCATGACCCTTTGAAAGCCGTGTGCTGAGCACCCTTCCCCGTCTCTCCCCTGAGCTCACAAAGGGCCTTGTTTTATGTGTGCAGTTCCATGACCGTCACAGGGATTTAACCATCTCTAGCAGAAAGTGTTGTCTGAACTGCCTTTGAAATCCTGGAACTAAAAATTTGGGAGCAGAGCTTCTGGTTTTTGTGCTGCACAAGACCTGTGCATTGCTCCCGTGAGACAGATATGAACGTAGTAATTTGTACCATGCAATGATGCTCGGCGCACGCTGAATCGGGGTGAGCAATTAGTCTGAAGATCCGTAGTAAACACAGCACTCGCTGTACACTCCAAATTAAATATAGCCCGGAACAGAGTGGGAATTGGAAGGCAGATCTAGGACACTTGAGTTCACAGCTCAGGAGCTTCCTTGGCGGCTGGTTCACGCCGTGAAAGGCTGCGCCGCTGAGGGGAGGGGAGACACGTGCATCTGTGTGTGCAGACAGCGTGGAGCTCCTACCCTGAGGAGGGTTCTGCTGTCCCAAAAAGGAGCAAACTTGCATTGCGGTGGCGTATCCGAGGCAAGCAGGGTTTGGGGGTGGGTGTGTGCAACCCTCAGGCTGGGTTTGTTGTGAAGCGTGTGCCTGCCGAGAGGCTTGTCCATCGAGAGCGCTTGATTTTCCACTGCTGAACTTTTGCCCTTGCACACTTCAAAAAAAAGGTGAGCTGCTTCCTGGTAGCCTCCCAGAGCAGCAGGTTGGGTCTTGCTTCGTTGCTGAGGGCAGCTGATATCCTTAGTGAGCCTCCTCTGCTCACACGAGGAGAGGGCTGGAGCAAAAAAGCAAAAGGCTTCAAGTTGAGGGGAGGAAAATCAAGCCAGCATGGGTCACTGGTGGGGTAAACCTTCGTGGTTCTACTTCCTGGAGCATTTTTCTCTGCCTCCTTATGTGTAACTGCTCCAGGGTTATATCAAGCATTACAAAGCAGAGCCTAAAGCCCTGTCATCGCAGTGCTGGTAATCCTCGTTGCTGGGGAAGGGAGATGTTGATCCCATTGCTGCGGAGGTTTGTGTTAATGCTGGGCCAGTTGGGGAGCTGGGCAGCTGGGCTGGAGCCGTGCGAGAGGGATTTCCACATTGCCCAGGAGGAATAGTGGATGCCGTGGTGGCTTGCAGAAGCCTAGGGCATGGTGTGGTTTGGGTGGTTGGTGCTGAGAGGGGGCCACTAAGCTGGGGAGGAGAAGCACAGGGGGAGTTGTCGTTGTGAAAATAAAATGCTGAAAGAGGCGAGAGGAGCTGCCTCGTGGGAGATCACAGACACTGGCTCTGTTTGCCGTGGCTTCGTTCACAGCAGCGATTCACCTCCTAACTGCGAGCAGACACCAGACGAGCAGTTTGGGTGCTAAACCTTTGGAGTCTACTAAACCTTTGGAGTCGGCTTGTGCTGCCTCAAAAGAGCTTGTTCACTTGTTGAATTGGGACAGCTGGTTTGCAAACGGCCAAGGAGGCTTCCTCGCCTCCAGTCGTGGTTCATCTGCAGCCCCCAGGGCACCTGCTGCAGAGCCACGAGAAGACTTTTAAACATCTGGGGTGGTTTGTTTCTGCTGGGGGGGTGTTGGGAAGACTCCAGCAGAATGGGTCAGTCCTCCAGAGCCCTGTTTAGGCTCTTAACAGCCCCCAGGTCTGTTTTCAAGCTGTGGTTTCACCCCTGGGGGTCTCCCCTCTGCAAAGGTGCTCACAGTGTCTCCCCTCGCAGGACTCTGAGTTCAGTAATGCTGATCAGATGGACCTGTACGACGACGTGCTAGCAGCCAGCTCGCAGCCCCCCGAAAGCCGCACCAGCAGCTCGGAGGCACCGCCAGAGATCCGTCAGGAGCCGTCCCCCAAGCCCAACAGCAAATCTCCCGCCATCCTGTACACGTACAGTGGGCTGCGCAACAAGAGAGCTGCTGTCTACGTGGGCAGCTTCTCCTGGGTGAGTGGGATGGCTGCCGGGCTGGGCTTGGTGTGAAGGGGTATCTCCTGGGGTGCCTGGGTAGTTTGGGGTCTCCTGTGGTGTGTATGCAGATGGGGGTCTTCCAGAGAGACCCCTGAGGGGCTGCAGGGCTCTTTGGGGGGGCTGAAGTGCTCCCTGGAGGGGGCTGTTCCTCCTCAATCCACACTGACCCAATGTCCCAAGCCGGGCCATGAGCTGGGCTTAACCTTGTGATCCTCAGGGAAAGGGGATTTGTAGCCTTGAGGGGCTTCAGGTCTGGTGGGGATGGGTGACCAGTAGCTGTAGCATCTCACTTGCTTCTTGGCTGTCTTGGGGGCTGTGTGGGTGAGTCCCCTCCTCCTGTTGATGGATACAGGGACAGTTCTGTCTTGTCCAGAGAGCAGAGAGATCTCATAGCCATGAGTGGGGCCTGTTTCAGCCTCAAGGTTGATTTTAAACTCCCCATAGGGGCTCTGAGGGGGTGTCTGTACTCCAAGCACCCTGCCCCAGCCCGCTGGCTGAGCTGGGGGACACCAGGGTCCTACAAAGGGCTGCGGGAGCTGACACCAGCCTCTCCCCTCTCAGTGGACGACTGACCAGCAGCTGATCCAAACCATCCGCTCAGTTGGTGTCTATGATGTAGTGGAGCTGAAATTTGCGGAGAACCGAGCCAATGGCCAGTCAAAAGGGTGAGAGCCGAGGGGCAGATGGAGGGCAATGGGGGAACCTCATGGCCACATCTTCTGTGTTGGGGGGCGGCTAGTGGTTTTTCCTGGGTGATGCCCAGTCTGCCTGGAGCTGGGATGGTAAAGTGAAGACTCCCAACCAGTATGGGAAGGGGAGGAGGGGACATGGAACATCAGCCTGGGTTCAGCGGGATGTGATGGGGCTGCCAGCAAGCACGGAGCCCCAGGGAGGGGGTTGTACGGGGGTCCCTACCCCTCTATCAGGGGGTGAACCACTCAGGGCTGGCTGACCGCTGGGCTTTCCTACAGGTACGCAGAGGTGGTGGTTGCCTCTGAGAATTCGGTCCACAAACTCTTGGAGCTTTTGCCCGGTAAAATCCTCAACGGGGATAAGGTGGAGGTGAGGCTGGCAACGCGACAGAACCTGTCCCAGTTCGAGGCGCAGGCTCGCAAACGTGAGTGAGGCGAAAGCACGCCATGGGTGGGGGGACCTCCGTGCTCCCGAGGGCCCCGCAGATCCCCAGCAGAGCTGTCAGGCCGAAGCCACCGAGAACCTCGGGGTTGGGGGGGACCCTGCCAGGAGCCTCTGGGGGTTGTTTCCTGTGCCTGCTGAGTCTGATTAGATCCTGACCCGAGTCTTTATGATCCCCTTTTAGGTGCTCACACACTGCGAAGATCCCTCGTAGCCTCCTCCTCCTCCTCTCCAAACTGAATGGGCTTAAGCTCTTCAGCCTATCAACATAGCTAAGACCCTCCATATCTATTAGTAGCTCTTCTCTGGATCTCCTCCAGAATTTGTCCATCCCTGCGGAGGTAAGGTGCCCAACACTGGACGCAGTATTCCAGCTGGGGCCTGGCCGTGGGCTTTCTACAATGGCAATAGGTGGTCCTCGCCTCACTCCGCAGCGATGTGACGCCCCAGCCCCGCGCCGGGGAGCTCCGCGGAGCCGCAGGGACCATTTTTGACAGGCGTGTTGATGAGGAGGTCTTGACCAGCTGTGGTCATTGTAGATCCCCTGTGGCCCATTTCACGCAAGGAAAGCCCTTCTTTCTAAGCCGAGTTGCAGTGGGGTAGCTCTGACCTTCTGCACCCTCCCTTCAGCTCCAGTGCCCGCGGTGATCTGTTGCTTGGCAGCGCCGGGCACTGTTACACCACGTCCCGACCTGCCCTCGCGTTTCGGTGGAGCAGGGCGTGTTCCTTTCTCTCACCCCTCGCCTTGCTGGGCACAGGGAGGCTGAATTTCAGGGCCTTGCCGGCGGCGTGGGGCCTCGCCCGGGCTCCACTTGATGGCTGTTGGAGTGGCAAGGCCTGGGCAGAGGCAGTGTTTGCCATTGTACCACTCTGGTCTCATCCTCAAAGCCTCTTTGGATGCAGCAAGGCTTCCTGACCCTCTCTTTGAGGTCAAACAGGTGCCGAGTTTTCCTTCCTCCAGCAGCTCCGTTGCTGTCAGCACTTGGGTCCTGTCCAGGCCTTTCCCAACCTGTGTGCGGATTGCAGGCTCTCCGGGTCGTTTAATAATCTTCAGGGACTTGGGGACCTGGCAACTTTTCTGCTGGGGATCTCTTGCCATTTCTTGTGGCTTTTCCCTTCCATCCCTGTGACCCCGCTTTGTTCAGTGGCTTCTGCAAAGCCCCCGCTGGCCCAGAACGAGCGTCCCCGGGGCGCTGTGCAGGCAAGCCAGGGTCTTGCCAGAGAGCAGCTACCCTCCTGGAGGCACATGGAAGCAGACGCTACATTTGGCTATCTGGATCTTTCTCTGGGCAACTTGTGCTCTCCCGAGGCTGCCCTTTTCTGGGGCTGCGGGAGAGGACGGTCCTTGCGCCAGTTGCTGCGGGTGGGGAGGAAGAGGAGGAGGAGGTCTCCGAGACTTGCAAGCCCTCTGGCCACGACTCATGGCTCTTTCCTGTGCCGTTTGCAGGTGTGCCGCCGCGGGCCCACTCCCGAGACTCCGTGGACTCAGTGGACGGCCGTGCCACACCGACAGAGAACGCCTTGCCACCTGCCCGCGTGGAGAAACCCCCCTCTGTCCTGCCTTTTTTCAACCGCCCCCCCGCTGCCCTGCCCCTAATGGGGTTACCCCCGCCGCCGATGCCACC